GGGGAAGGCGGAAAGAGTTTGGTCGTAGTCATGCATGGCGGGAGTGCATCGACCAGCAGTCGCAAGTCGTGCGCGAGAGCCTCTGGCCACCGGTGCGTCGTCTGAAAGCCCCACCCTGAGCCCGCGCATCACCGTTGTCCAGCCTCACGGACAGCACGTGTGCCATCACCCGGGAGCAGACGCCGAGGACCAACAGCAGCATGGAGGTCGCGGCGAGTTCGGCGGGCCCGCTGCGGTACACGCTAGACAACCCTCGACTCACGTTCGAGCAGCGGAAGTTTTACGAAGACAACGGATACCTGCTCTTCAAGAAACTCATTGACGAAGACTTTCTGGATGAGTGCAGGTGCCTATCGAATCGAGAGCAGTCAGGCAAAGCGTAGTGTTTTTCTGCAAGCAGGAAGGAAGGGCCTAACTGATGCGGCTTGTTCAAGAGTTCAACTGACGATCACTTAAAAGTTGAACAGATTTGTTACACACTCGTCACTCAAGTCTTCCCTCTGCGACATCAAGTGCTAATTATCACTATAAAAACTGAAGATGTTTAAATAAACTGTTTATATTAGATGTCGCCCCCTTCTCTCCTCTCCAAAAAAACAAAACACTGAGCTCTTGGACTAAGTGCATTGTACTTGATTTTTCAAGTACTTTTAACTTCAATTAAGACATATGTACTTAACAAATCAAAGGATCAAGTACAATGCACATGGCCCAAGAACTCCGTGTCTTGTGTGCAGAATGCGTATACTTGAGCTTCAAAGTTGAACCCGTGCAGAAGTGCAACGTGTTGTTGACGCACCCCATATCGCACGCAGGCAGCGGTTCGTGGACCTCTGCGACGGCCGCGTGTCCAAGGGCGGCATGGTCCTCATGAGGGACATCTCCCTGGCCAAGCAGGGCGGCGCCTCGGGCGAGAGGCTGTACAACAAGCTGCAGGACTTTATCTGGGACGACGTGCTGTCCCGGTACCTGCTGGCCCCCGAGGTGCTGGACATCGCGGAGTGCATGACCGGGCCTAACATCATGGCAGTGCACACCATGCTCATCAACAAGCCACCCGACTCGGGCCACCTTACGTCGCGGCACCCCATGCACCAGGTGAGCACAGGTGGCCGCACACGGTTCAGGAAACAATGTCTCGTTTGTGGAGGACAACTGGCAACGGGCCAACTTTGGGGAACTTCCAAAGATTAACGACTCTTCATATTTTGAGGAAATTTCCTGGGAAAAAAATGTGGGACTTTCCCTTATTTTTTGAGATTTCTCCAAAATCTGGGGAGTTTTTATCTATGACTATGTGTCCCCCTCAAAGTTTTCCCTTTTTCCTCAAGAAACTAGACTTTTTTTTTAACCGTGCAACCTCGGCCACAGTGGCTGGCCCGAGGCACCGACTGACGTTCGGCCGCGACGTCATTCCGACTCTTCTTGTCCAGGACCTGCACTACTTCCCATTTCGCCCCGCGAACCGCATCGTGGCCTCGTGGACCGCCATGGAGGATATCCACGAGCGCAACGGCTGTCTGTTCGTCGTCCCGGGGAGCCACCGGGCGGGCGAGCTGTACCAACACGACTACCCGGACTGGGAGGTATTGTGGCGGGTCGCCGAGGCGAACCCGGGCGTCGAGCTCTTGGGGCGTCTTAAACCCTTAGAAGATATCCAGTTAGCTATTTCCGCCTAGCAATCTGCGATTTCCGACTTGCAAATTGCCCCAAGACTTGCGAGTTGGGATTAGGAATCGACCAGAAAGTGTGTCCGGTCATTCGCCGTTACGAACCTGACCAGTTCAGCATCTACAAGCTCTCATAGCGCCTGTTACGTAGGCAATATCTTTGCCTGCAGTGCATGCGTGTATCGCGGGGTGGCCTAACCCGAGTATCGCAGGCGCTGAGCTCTCGTAATTTGCTGCATGAGTTTGAGAAAAACGGGCGTACTTTCTGGACGATGAGATAGTCGCAAGTCGGAAATCACCAAGTGGACATCTTTTCACTCCACTGTCATCATTCCAGGGGGGCGTGAACAAGGCGTTCCACGGCGTCAGGGGCTTCGACGACTTCCCCAAGAAGATGCTGACCATGGCGAAGGGCGACACCGTCTTCTTCCACCCACTGCTCCTTCACGGCTCAGGCGCCAACCTCACCAAAGTGAGTATATTGTTGCAAATGTATTCAAACATACATCTCATTAAAATGTATGAAATAGTTTTGAAGAGTACATGCAATATGCCTCTACATGCTGACGTATCTCGGATTCGCAGGGCTTTCGCAAGGCTATTTCCGGTCACTTCGCTGCCTCGGAGTGCCATTACGTGGACGTGCGCGGCACGGTGCAGGAGGGCATCGCGAAAGAGGTGGAGGAAATGGGACAAATGAGAAACATGAACATCAGTTTCCAGGTGAGCCGCTAGAGGATGCAAGAGCACAGGATCAAGGGCAGGAATTTTATTGAATGTGCAGTTTCTAAAAGTTTGGGGACTGTCTCAAAATGTTTTACGCGTATTGTGTTTGTTTTGCAGGACGCATGGAGGATACGGAGCAGGTGCGTGCGAGGCCGGGAGTCCACCATGTCGATGGAGCCAACCCTGCGCTCGCGCTACTGACGTGCTGGCGCTGGACCGGGGGGCGTGTGATATTACTTGTATTATGAAGCTGCTGTAAATAAATGAGTCATCATTGTAGGCTAAAACACAATATGTTGGGCTCATTTCTGTAGGCCAAAAGCTCAGCCAAAAGTCGTTTAGGAGGGCAAAAGAAGGGAAGGG